CCATGGCGCGGCCGTTGCTGCCGCTGCTCTACGGTACCGTCGCCCTCCTGCTGCCCTGGGCCGACACCGACACCGGTAAGCGGGGCTCCCCCGGGCTCCCTAGCCCGCTGCCGGCATGCCCACGCCACTCCCCGGCGTGCCCACCCCATCGCTGAGGTGCTTGCTCCGCTTCCCCGGGTGCCACAGCTACTTTTTTTTCCTCCTGCTGCCCTGGGCCGACACCGACACCGGTAAGCGGGGCTCCCCCGGGCTCCCTAGCCCGCTGCCGGCATGCCCACGCCACTCCCCGGCGTGCCCACCCCATCGCTGAGGTGCTTGCTCCGCTTCCCCGGGTGCCCACGCTACTCCCTGGGGTGCCCATGCCATCCCTGGGTGCTTGCTCTGCTTCCTGGGATGCCCGCACCATCCCTGGGGTGCTTGCTCCGGTTCCTGGGGTGCCCATGGTACTCCCTGGGGCGCTCACTCCACTTCCCGGGGTGCCCACGCTACTCCCTGGGGTGCCCACGCTGTCCCTGGGGTGCTCGCTCTGCTTCCCGGGGTGCCCACCCTACTCCCTGGAGTGCCCATGCCATCCTTGGGGTGCTTGCTCTGCTTCCCAAGGTGCCCATGCTGTCTCTGGGGTGCCCATACCGTCCCTGGGGTGCTCGCTCTGCTTCCCGGGGTGCCCACCCTACTCCCTGGAGTGCCCATGCCATCCTTGGGGTGCTTGCTCTGCTTCTTGGGGTGCCCATGCTGGCCCCGGGGTACTCATGGCGCTCCCCGCAGTGCCTGTTCTGCTCCCTGGGGTGCCCATGCTACTCCCTGGGGTAACCAAACTCCCACTCAGGGTGCCCTCACTGCTCCCTGCATGCCCACACCTCTCTCTAAGTGCCCCATGCCCCCTCCTCCCCCCGAGGTGCCCGTGCTGCACCCTGGGGTGCCCATGCTCCCTTCAGGGCACCCACGCTGCTCCCTGGGGTGCCCAGGCTGCAGCCCCACGCTCCCCTCGCACCTCCCCAGGTGCCCACCTCCCTCCCTGGGTGCCCGTGCCACCTCCCCACCAGTGTCCAGGGAGGCTGGGGGTGATTTTTAGGGTCCGTGTGATGGACCCAGGGGAGCTGCATCACTGCAGGATTTCACCCTGGCTGGGGTCTGTGGGTTTTCCACGGGACTGGGACTTGTCCATGGCCGAGCATCGCCGGACTGGGATGTGGGGGGATGCAACTGGGAATGTCACCTCTCCAAAAGCACAGACTCATAGAATCCTAGAATCCTTTAGGTTGACCTTTAATATCACCGAGTCCAACGGTTAACCACGCACTGCCAAGCCCACCACTCAACCACGTCCC